GTGTTCTTGGCAGTGCTTCTCTTTGTGGGCTAGCAATTTCGGCTGTGGGACATTCCCATCCGAACAATGCCGCTTTTAGAGGAGGGAAGTCGCAGTTTTATTAGCCTTAGTGCCACACACACACACACACACACACACGCTGCCTTGTTTCCCCGTCTTTCTCATTCTCAGTCCTGTCGCCCTCCTTGCCAGCCCCGGCTGTAGCGCTTGCTGCCTGTGGCTCCAGGGAGAGTGGCCTCAGTACAAAGCTGCATTTGGCCCTGGGATATTTCATCCAAGTTCTTACTTAGAAACAGGACTGAAGTCCAAGTCTGATGCTCCCGAACCAGTCCAGTTCCTCCTCCCTTCAGTTTACTTTCATTTCTTTGATTTTTTTTTTCTTCCTTCATCTGTGCCTTGCTGGTTCCCTAAGCAAAGCCTGTGAGTTGTGAGTTCCTGGTGGCCTCTTTCCACCCCCTTCTGCCCCACACGCAGATGTGCGCAAGTGAGAGCTCTGGCTCCGATCCCTGTTGGAAAGTGGCTCTTGAAGAACTCAAGGAAGCCCCACTTAAGGCACGTGCCAAGAGAATCCCAGGGGCTGGTGGGGGTTGGGCCTTTTGGTGTGAGTTGAAGGGTGACGCAGGTCTCCCTACCATCCATCGCCTAGTGGCTCTCGAATTGGCTCCTGAAAGTCTCACGCAAGTAGAAAAAAGATCATGGTTTCCAAATGACAAGTTAGGACTTATGTCGGAAGGGTTATCAGAAATATAGGGCAGAGCTGCGCAGCTACGTCTGGAACAAATGGCCACTGCTGAGAAGAGTTCGGGCTGGTTCAGTGGGGGAAAAGAGTGAGGATATATACAATCGGCCCCCACGATCCACAGGGGCTTGGTTCCAGGACCCCCATGGAAACCAAAATCCACACATACTCAAGTCCCTGATATAAAATGGTGTGATAATTGCATATATGCCAATCCTTCTGTATGTTTTAAATCAACTCTAGATCACAATGCCGAGTACAATGTGAATTCTATATAAATTCTTGTTATACTGTATTGTTTGGAGAATAAGAAAAAAAAAAAAAAAGTCTGTCCATGGCTGGTTGAATGCTTGGCTGCAGTGCCCATGGCCATGGAAGGCCAACTGGAGTAGAAGGTCTGACATAGGCGTGGGATAGGCTGGCTAGTGGGAGCATTGTAATAGTGGCTTTGCCCACAGATGGTTTCTTGGAGAGCTAACAGTGCGATGCTCTTGGCTGTTAGCCTCCGAACATGCATGAGATGATTAGATTGATTGTGAGAGAAGGAAGTCACTGGATAGGGGAAGTTTTTGTTTATGGCTTACTCTTCCTTTTTAATGGAGTTAAAATTCACATAGCATCCATTCCACCATTGAAACCATTTTAAAGTGCACAGCTCAGTGATGTTTAGTACATGCACAAGGTGGTAGAGCCATTGCCACTATCTAATTCCAACTTCACATCACCCGCAAAAGAAACCTTGAACCCATTAAGTAGTCACTCCCCTTTCTCCCTACCCCTCCCGTTCCTAGAAACCATAGATCTACTTTATGTGTGTGTGGGTTTGCCTATTTTAAACATTCATATAAAGGTAATCACACAATAGATTTTTTTTTTGGTGTCTGGGTTACTTTACTAAGCATGTTTTCAAGCTTCTTTCATGTTGTAACATATCAATGCTTCATTCCTTTTTATGGCTAAATAATATTCCATCATATGAGTGGATCACACTTTGTTTATCCACTCATCAGTTGGTGGACATTGGGTTGCTTCCACCTTTTGACTAATATGAATAATGCTGTTATCTACTTTCATGTACATTTTTTTAATTTGAACTCATGTTTTTGATTCTCTTCAGTAGATAGGTGAAGTTTTTTTTTTTTAACCAGCTTTGATGGAAACAAATCTGTTTGAAGCTTTCTAATAGGTGTGTTTTGCAAGAAGCAAAGAATAGGAGTTTAGGTGCTGCCTAGATGAGGCCCGAGAGTAGGAAAGAATTGGCTGAGCCCCATGGGCAGGCTGTGGAATCCTAAGCGTGAAAGGTCTGTGAAAAGGAGGGCAAGAGAGGGAGAAGACTGTGCCAAAATGTGCTAATAATGACCTTGAATTTGGGGAACGGACAAAGAATAGGGTTTGTTCAGAATCTGTAAAATGACTGCTGGTATTTTCCTGTTTTTATAAGGAAGAGAGAATTCTGTGATGGAGATGTGAAGACAGTTTAGGGTAAGACCAAGGTAAATTGAAAATGGTATTGCTTTGCGCTGTGTCTTAACAGGGTTCTGTTAATGGATGCTACTTGGACAGAAAGAGTGAGAGCTTATTTAGCTGCATGTGACACAAGATGACAAAATTGGTAGAGCAAAATTTAGCACAACAAATTAAAGCAGAGGGACCACTTTTTACAAGGGTACTGCTGTTGATTTCTATAGCAATAGACTTTTTCTAAAGCAGCCTCATATCTGTGAATCCATTAGAACGAATTAATTGGGCAGAGCAGGTGCCTCTTGCTGCCACTTGAGAAACAAGAAAAATCAAGGTGCCCAAGAAAATACTCGGTGATAGTAGACATCCGGTCACTATTTGTTAAATAAATGAAGCTAAGTCATATAGGGTTACCAAATGTCAGTGCTTCTGGAAGGGTCTTTGAGATCATCCAGATCTCCCCCATTTTTTCCAGGAGAGGTGTCAGAGTACAGTGGGGGAACTCCTGGGCTTCAATCCAAGGTCAATTAGTTAGTGAGAGGAGGACTCCAGTCAGTAGTCTCTGCCTTGTCCCTGGGTAGAGTTCATTACACATTAACCACGTCGTTTTGTGGCGATCTGTGCTCTAGTCTGTCTCCACCATTGAGCCATAGGCTCCTGGGGGTGGAGTTTGCATCTGACTCATCCCTGAATACTCAGGATGTAGTGCAGTTGATGAAACTTGTAGAATGGATAAACAGGAACCAGAGGCTCCCTGTTCTTCCTGCTCCTTGTCCTCATTCTGTCACAATGTTTGGTGGCAGATTCAGAACTCAACCAGTTTCTAGGCCAGGGGGGGATCTTTTCCCTACACCCCAATGTCTACATTTAGCCAGCAGGTTGCTATGGACTTGTCAGCCACCTTGGGAACATTCCCACTGTATTGTCATTATGGAAGTGTCTAGAAGGCAAGAGAAAGTGAGAGTTTTCCTTAGCTCAAAGCCCAAGGCCAATTTAGCTACCTAGTGTGCAATCTCAAGTGCGTCTTGTACACCCGGAAGTTGTACGGGGCTGTCCAGGTCCCAGATCCAGATATTGTGGACTTGGGGGAACTGTGCTTTCAGTGTGGGCTTTGACGATGAAAGGGGCAGGAAGAGATGACTAGATTTTTTCAAGTGCTCCTGAAATAATCCCTTGTCTCCCTTGTTTTCCTCTTTCTGGGGATGTTTATTTGTTCCTGAACACATATTTGAGCAGAGAAGGTCTCTTATTGAGCCTTCCCATGCCTTCGCACTAATTGTGGCCAGCCAGTAAAAGGCATATGGCAGGCCGGCGTCGTGGCTCACTAGGCTAATCCTCTGCCTGCGGTGCCGGCACTCCGGGTTCTAGTCCCAGTCGGGGCGCCGGATTCTGTCCCGGCTGCCCCTCTTCCAGGCCAGCTCTCTGCTGTGGCCGGGAAGGCAGTGGAGGATGGCCCAAGTGCTTGGGCCCTGCACCCCATGGGAGACCAGGAGGAAGCACCTGGCTCCTGGCTTCGGATCGGCACAGCGCGCTGGCCGCAACACGCTGGCCACTTGGGGGGTGAATCAAAAGAAAAAGGAAGAGCTTTCTCTCTCTCCCTCTCTCTCTCTCTCACTGTCTAACTCTGCCTTTCAAAAAAAAAAAAAATAAAAGAAAAGAAATAAAAAAAAAGGCATATGGCAGGAACCCAGGCCAGCGTGTGCTGGGTCTGTGTGCAGCACAGAGAGAGAGGCACAGGAATTACACCTGGGCCATTGACCATGGTATAAGCTCTGGTATCTGTCTTCTGTCCCCTGCTTCTGCAGTGCCACAGGGTTCTTCCACCTGAGTTTCTGCTTCCTTTCTCCTGTACCACCTCCAAGACCCTCTTGTTGGACTCCGTCATCACCTCGCCGGCCTGGGTGTGCCATGACTTCCGTTAGTACATTCTGTGCCTGCTCAATGCCTGGAAATCCGTAGAATTCAGACTGCAAAAGGATCGCACTGGCAAGCTCAGTTTTCCTCCATGTCAGATGATGGCCCTGTCACCAGTAACTTGACTCATCCTGCTTTCAAAGCAGTTCCCACTGTGTCAGTCAGAGTGAATGCATATACAGAGAAAGGTAAAGACTTAGGGTACTCTCCTTGCCTGGGCGTTGGCGAAGGTTGCCAGGAGAAAGGTGCAGGTGAGTTAGGTCCTGCTTGGGGAGGGGAGGGGATTTTCTGGTAAGAGCCATTCTGGGAGCCGGCGCTGTGGCGTGGTGGGTAAAGCCGCCGCCTGCATTGCCAACATCCCATATAGGCGCCAGTTCAAGACCTGGCTGCTCCACTTCCGATCCAGCTCTCTGCTATGGCCTGGGAAAGCAGTAGAAGATGGCTCCTGAACCCACGTGGGAGACCTGGAAGAAGCTCCTGGCTCCTGGCTTCAGATCGGCACAGCTCTGGCTGTTGTGGCCAATTGGGGAGTGAGCCAGTGGATGGAAGACCTCTCTCTCTGCCTCTCCTTCTCTGTCTGTGTAACTCCGACTTTCAAAATAAACAAATCTTTTAAAAAAAATGAGTCATCCTGCCAAATCTTCAGACCAGAGGTGACAGCCAGGAACTGTTTCTCAAATAGTCACTGAGAGTCACACGAAAGAGAGAGCGAGCGAGTGGACAATGACAAAGGGACAGCTCCTTACAAGTAAGTTCTGTTCAGCTCCTGTCTTGTCGCAAGGACCTCTGTGTTTTATAGGGTTTTGTCAGACCTTAGACCAGGCTGAGATGTGAGTTGGGAAAGGATTTCCTCCCTCACCCCACTCGCCATAGGCCGCACACTCACCTGCACCAGGTCCGGTGTTAGGCGCTTGGCCTGCAGCCATTTCTGGAATCTCCCTGTTTTGCGCAGGACCCGCTCAATGCTGCAGGTTTTGGGGGCTGAGGCAGAGGCACAGATCCTCCTGTCTGAGATCTCGTTTTGGTATTTGTCGAGCAGCCTGAAGATCTCCACAGGGCGCCAGGTTTTGGAATCATCCGAGTAATTCGCAGCATAGGAAGGCAAGTGGGCGGGAGAAAGTCCAAGGTGGGAAGCCAGCGAGTCATCAAACCTGTTGGAAGAACAGCTCTGTTCACAGGATTGGCCTGTGAGCTGGAGGCCAGCTCAGCCCAGGGACAGGGAGACTGGGGACAACAGCCTGTTTGACCCATTTCTCCTCTTTAGCCTGCAACGTTCCCAAATCTTTGTGTGAGAAACCTGGTTTTGCTTCCTGAAGCTTGGGGATGTGTACTCACACATGTAATAGCAGAAAAGGGGAGGGAAGTATGGGTCCAACACAGACTTTACCATCTTCCTGCAGCTGACTCAGAAACCAGCCAGGCTTTCTGAATCTGTAGTCCATGGGATAACAGCTCCTGATTCTCCTAATGCCCCACCCATACTTCTCAGGTGTGTAAGCTGAGACTTCAGTATCTTGCCCAAGGTCCGACCATACAATGCCAAGCAGGTGTCTGAACCTTGCGTCCTCTGTCAACGAACCCCCTCGTCTGTCCCCTTCCCTATGCTGGTTCCCAGAGTCACCTGCCCTCTGACCACTGCCTAGGCCTTTGGAACCCAGACCTAGCCTGGGTTCTTGAAGAGGGTCTTGGGTCTGCATTGGAGAGACCACCGCCGTTCCACATCCAAACCTAGAGAGCCCCATCAGGTTTGTTTTTTGTTCAAAGATTTCAGTCATCAGTGCCAGTCAAGTCTCAGATAACCGGGGCTGTTAAATGGTGACCAAATTCAAATTCTGTAATTCTCCATAATGGCCTGGTTGGTCTTTAATCCCCCTGGGGGGCGGCAATGGCCTGTCATCATCTACTGATTTCCTAGACCCCACATTGACCCTTTTCTCCGGAGTTATTTCTCCAGCTGTGTGCTGACATTTCCATTAGGGAAGAATGTTAAATTTCCTTTGGATGTAGGTATGAAAAATTACCCAGGCAAAGTTTACCTTCATTATTATTAATAATTGAGGGTCACACTGCAAATGAAAATCAGCTGAGATATGTTCTATATTTAATCTAAATAAGAATCTTTAAATTCTTATTGCTAGGCATTATGGGGCCACCTTATGATAATGAATTTGGGAAGAACTAGCATTCTGATGAGTCTCCAACCCTAGATTGTTTTGGTTTCTCACTTGCATGGTAAAGTTTTACCTCAAGAGACCACAAGCTTTTCTTACTGTTTGGGTGGCAGAGAAAGTCACACAAAGTCTTACAAAGGCAAAGAGGTCAAGGGACTTTGTCCAGGGAGGTGGAGGGCCCAAGCTCTCTGAATCCCTGAGGACTGTTCTAGAACTCCAGGCTGCTCATGGACTTTCAACACCCCCAAGGGCCTGGGCTTAAGGATTTATAGCCAATTGGCTCTTTTTGGTAATGCTAATCATAACACACTTACATGAAACATTTATGTGTGCCAATCACTTTCTAAATACTTTATGTATAGTAATTCATTTAATCCATTCAGCTGATACTGTTATTGACTATATGAGTACAACTGAGGAAACTGAGGCACAGTAGTTACATCATTTGCTCAAGGTCACATGACCAGGATTTGGAGGAAGCGGCATTCCAGGCTCCACAGTTTACAATCTGCGTCACTTTGCCATTGCTTAGTCCTCCATCATCCATATTAGGAATCAGCTCATGGCAACAGATTGATGACATTATTAGGCGTTAAGGCTGACAGGTCCTTGAAGATCATTTTGTCTCCGCCCCCTTCCCCATCTTGTTTGGAGGATGAGACAGTTGAAGGCCAGCCGTGTATGTGACTTGCCTGAGGAATCACAACAATTAGTGGCAGAGGAGGGCATATCTTAGTGCTCCTGCTTTTCCATTTGGTGGCAGTGGTGTGGGGGAGACTTCCTGCCCTGTGGACAAGCTCACTGTCCTTTTTTCTGTCCCCATCTCTTGAGCAGGCTCTGCTAAAATGACAGCACTGACTTGGAAGGTGACCCAAAATAAATGTCTGGGCAAGTTCAGTGAAGGCTCAGGGCATTCTCAGAGGACTGAGACAAACAACAACAACAACAACAACAACAAAACAGGTTTCCAGGCCTCTTCCATTCAAAATGGCAATGCATTTATTGCACTGAATGGAAAAAAATGCATATTCTTACAACATTGATCATTCATGCTATTCAATAGCAGAATGTCAGTGAGAAAATGAACCTCCTTTTTGATTCACTAAAATGTTAATATCCTAGAGTTTGGGAAAAAAAACCCACAAAACAAAGGCAGCTGTCTAATCTTCCTTCTGAACTGAGATCATGGACAAGATTGAAGTGAGGCTGGCCAGGTTACTCATTGCATTGAAAGATAGACAAGCATGATCATAGTTTCCCAGACTGGAAGGAAGCATCAAGGCCAAACCCACCAAGTCCCTCAATACAGGTGGCAGTGTGGAGAAGGGAGATGGCCTTAGAATTGGAATGAAATTCCCTCTTTCCTTGCACACTTCTTAGGGCTGTATCCAGTCAAACAGTAAGACTAAAGCCATACCTTCCTAAATCTTTCTTGCCTCTCTTCCCTCTTTTCCAACACTTAGCTCTGCACATAACCCTTGAACCACCTAGCATCTTCCCAAGGCTGTCAGGATATAGTTCTTCAGTGGAGTTCACATGCTCTTTGTAGACCCATCACCTGCTGCTCCCCTTACAAGCTTGCTTTCATCTCACAAAACCATTGGTGATTCTTGCATAAACTAAATTATTTTTAAAAAATTTTTTTGTTTGCTAATTTACTTTTTTAAAATTAAAAAAAATTTTTTTTGACAGGCAGAGTGGACAGTGAGAGAGAGAGACAGAGAGAAAGGTCTTCCTTTGCCGTTGGTTCACCCTCCAATGGCCGCCGCGGCCAGCGCACTGCGGCCGGTGCACCGCGCTGATCCGATGGCAGGAGCCAGGTGCTTCTCCTGGTCTCCCATGGGGTGCAGGGCCCAAGTACTTGGGCCATCCTCCACTGCACTCCCGGGCCACAGCAGAGAGCTGGCCTGGAAGAGGGGCAACCAGGACAGAATCCGGCGCCCTGACCGGGACTAGAACCCGGTGTGCCGGAGTCGCAAGGCGGAGGATTAGCCTAGTGAGCCGCGGCGCTGGCTGCTAAATTACTTTTAAAAATTAATTAACTTTGGGGCTGGCACTGTGGTATAGTGTGTTAAGCCATTGCCTACAGAGCTGGGATCCCATGTGGGTGTCAGTTTGAGTTTCGGGAGCTCCCTGTTAATGGCCTGGGAAAGCAGTAGAAGATGGCCCAAGTGCTTGGGCCCCTGCACCCACATGGGAGACCCGGAAGAAGCTCCTGGCTCCTGGCTTCAGACTCCTCCAGCCCCAGCTGTTGTGGCTATCTGGGGATTGAACCAGTGGATGGAAGATTTCTCCCTCTCCCTCTCCCTCTCCCTCTCCCTCTCCCTCTCCCTCTCCCTCTCCCTCTCCCTCTCCCTCTCCCTCTCCCTCTTCCCTTCCCCCTCCCTCTCCTCTCCCTCTCCCTCTCCCTCTCCCTCTCCCTCTCCCTCTCCCTCTTCTTCTCTCTCTACCTTTCAACTAAATAAAACAAATCTTCACAAAAAAGAGTACTTGGGCCTCTTTCAACGTTGTAACTCCAGTGTTCAGTAGAGTGCTTGGTACTGAGTTAATACTCAATGCTTTATAGTTGGATGGATGGGTGGGTGGATGGATGGATAAGTGAGTAGAGAGATACATGGAGGCCTAAACGGTGGAATGCATAGAGTTATGGTTGGGAGGAAAAATGAATGGAGGGATGATGTCTGCATGAATGTGTGTGGATTGGGCATAGGTGCATTGGCACATGTACAGAATACTGACTGTGGAGATGGACACTTTTGCCATAAACTCCTGAGCTGTGCATCTCCCAAGACTTCCACTGATGTGAGGAAGTGGGGGCAAGGTAGTAATTGCTATCATCTTCTGAGGTGAAGGAGACAGGAAGCAAGGGAGAAGGGAGGGCAAAATCAAGTTAATGATTTAGTTTACTTTGAGCCCTCCCCTGTTCAATCAAAAGTGTTCAAGCATTGTTTAAGCCCTTGGGAGTACAGTAAGAAATTGTGAGATAAAGCATCAGCCTTGGTAAGAGCCTAGGCACCTCTGGGAATGAAATTGATTAGGGATACTACCCTGGGTAGTCTTCTCCCCCTCACACATGCCTAATACAGATCAGCCAGAGCCCGGTAGATCGTACTAGGTGGTGTGACCACTCCTGATTTCACATACAGCTGCAGTTTTAGTAGGAAGAGTATGTCAATCAGGCTTACTCATTTTCCCAGCTTCCCTTAACTTTTTCATTCAGGATATAAAGGTCAGCATAGAATGTATGAGAGTTTGCTACAGAAAGCATTCATGTTTTCAAAGGTCAGTGGTCGGGTATGGAAAGCATCAGATTCATCATTAGCATTTCCACCAAAGACAAGACAAGAGGAAGAAGGAAAGATGCTGCTCATCTACCAGTCCTGTGTCTTCAGCATACACAGCCAGCCTGGGAAGCCCACATGCTGCTTATTGCTGAATGGATAGAAGCATTGTCTAATCCCTATTGAGGACCAGGGCTGGGATGCTCATGCTTACATGGCTAGAACATTGCAGCCAATAGCTGAGGGTTTTGGAAGGGCTTTCTCCTGTGCTATCACAGTAATAAATCTTAACAGTGGAGAAATTTTTGGAGATCAACAAGAATAAGGTGAACAAACATAGCATTAGAAAGGCTGCTTGGGGCCGGTGCCATGGCTCACTAGGCTAATCCTCTGCCTGCGGTGCCGGCATCCCATATGGGCGCCGGGTTCTAGTCCTGGTTGTTCTTCTTCCAGTCCAGCTCTCTGCTGTGGCCCGGGAGGGCAGTGAAAGATGGCCCAAGTGCTTGGGCCCCTGTACCTGCATGGGAGACCAGGAGGAAGCACCTGGCTCCCGGCTTCAGATTGGCTCAGCACCCGCCGTGGTGGCCATTTGGGGGGTGAACCAATGGAAGGAAGACCTTTCTCTCTGCCTCTCTCTCTCTCACTGTCTGTAATTCTACCTGTCAAATAAATAAAAATCTAAAAAAAAAAAAAAAAAAAAGAAAAGCTGCTCCACTTCTGATCCAGCTGCCTGATAATGTGCCTGGGAAAGCAGTTGAAGATGGCCCAAGTACTTGGGCCCCTACACCCATGTGGGAAACCCAGAAGAAGCTCCTGGCTTCAGATTGGCCCAGCTTCGGCCATTGTGACCATTTGGGGAGTGAACCAGCAGATGGAAGATCTCCCTCTGCCTCTGCCTCTGCCTCTCTGTAACTCTGCCTTTCAAATAAATAACTAATTCTTTAAAAAGAAAGAAAGGCAAAGAGCGTGAACTTGGAGGTAATTTAGCAAAGACAAAATAAAAATGGTCAATAAACCTGAAAAAAGGCTCAACTGAGAAGAAATGCAAGATAAAAAAATGGTAGTTAATATTTGTGAATGTGCAAGAAGTGATTTCTATAGGCAGAAGTCTCCAGTTAGGAGATATATATTTAAAAAATTTGCCAGATTTTTGGACTCAGATATTCCACTTCTAGGAATTTATTATATAGAATTGGCTAAGAATGTGTGCAAAATCTAATCACAGGAATGTACAACATAACTGTGTTTATCACACTAAAGGGTGAAAAAAACAAAAACCAACCCCAGCTGTCTCATCCTGATGGATTGGTTAAATAAATTACGGTTGGTTGATGTGATTGAATACCATGAAGTCATTAAAAATCAAAATGTAAAGAATATTTAATCATATAGACAGGTGTTCCCAATATATTATTAAATAAACTTCCCCAAACGGTATGCATAGTCTGATCACATTTTAGATTAAAAAAATTTCCTAATACATACTTAGAGAAAGGGTGGCGAAACTATACAACAAAATTTTTACTAGAGGGTGATGGTGAGCTCTTGGTGGAGGAACTGCAGGAGATTTTCGTTTTGCATTTTCCTTCACCAGTATTTCCTGAACATTCTAAACAGTGCTACTTTTGTAATGTAGAAGAAGTTATTTATCACATAGAGAAAAGGACTATCAGTTCCATGTCCTCAGACCCTCTCGCAGCCTCCCTCTGCCTCTTGGTGCCAAGGCTGTGTCTGCACACTTTCCTTTCTCCTTTTAGGCATGCATGGAAAATGAATTTTGAGGGAGGTGAAGTAATATCCTGAATTCTAACGGCGCACAAACCTATTTAGTGAAATGTTTTCTGAATGTCTTCAGTACCCGCCTGATGAGAAAACTTTATTGCTAGTTGGTGAATAAGGGGGATGTGACCCTAATGCTCTTTCTCAGTTGATTCCTGGATCTCTCACCCTCCTCTCTTAACACACCTTAAAATATGCCCATATTCTCATTGCCCCCTTTCTCTGAGGAATCAGTGCCACCTCACCTGTGTCTTGGGTCCTCTTCATCTCATGTCCTAGTTGGGAAACCTTGAGTTTATGTTCAACATCTCCATCTTTATTTCTGCTCACGTTGAGTCGGTCAACAAAATGACAGTCGCTGAACTGACTTGTATCCTTCCTGCCCTATTTTGTGCTTGATAGCATCTTTCCTGGCCTGTGAGAACTGGTCTCACAGCCCTTGCCAGCAACCCCAGTCCATGCTGCATGTTACTTTCCATGAGCCCTTCCCCAAACACACGTCTCACTTTCTCCTCCCTGGCTTAACATCCCACCATTGACCGTAATCAGTTGTGGCTCTTTCGTAGGAAAAGTCCACATGGACTCCCTAAAATATCTGTGTTCTCAGAAAGGAAGTTTAACATTTTTAATTGGTGTTTATTATTTCTGTTAATTTAGTTGAATAATCAAATATGTCTTTGATACACATTGGAATTAGAAATCAGTGTTAATTAGCACCTTTTGTTTCATCAACACTTGCAAGCATGAAGCAGGTCCTGGGGGTGGGGGGGAGGAATAGGGGTACGTAACCAAGAACCTTTAGTATTGACCAGGTTGGAAGCCAGTGACCCATGGATTAAGGTTCTAATTCGTTGTCATGGCATTCAATACCCCCACTCCATACATCCTTCCAATCATCCCTTTTTCCATCCTTGTACTTGTCTCCTCTGCCATCCTTGCACATATACTCCATGCTCCGGCTGCCAAGCCCCCTTGACCCCTTGTTTGCAATGTAGATCCCTCCTCCTGATGCCTCAGAGGGCAATGGACAGAGTTAGAGAGGCTGCCACCACAGTACCTACTAGGTCTTGGCCTTAGTAAAAGCTCATTGTGTGCTTGAATTTCAGTGTGGTACCAGTCTTTGGTGAGAGCCATGTGCATTGCAATGTACCAAACTCTGGTTTCTTCTGGTCAAGGCCACACCTCACAACAGAAAACTGGCTCAGAGACTTAGGGGCAAAATGTCCTGGTTTGAATCCCAGATCTGCCACTTACTAGTTGGTGACCTTGGGCAAGTCACTTAATCTTGCCATGGCTCAGTTCACCATCTCAATCATGGGTGTGAGCCACTAACTCCCAGCATTGTTTCAAACACCTGTCAATTGTAAGCTTTCTATAATTTTATTCCACTCCCCCTATGAGAAATGAACTTGGTAAATTCAACGGTCCCAGGCCATTCCATTCACAGAACAGAAAATTTCAAGCTTTCACTTCAAAAGGAACTTTTGGATTTAGCAGTTAGGGCCAAAGCTGGAATTTGGCTTTGCACCTTTCTCTCCTACCCACCCGAACTTCAAGCCATTACCACTATAATTAAATAGCTTTGTGGCAGCTCCCACCCATAAGTTACATCCTGATTCATTTTCAACCAACTCCTGGACATCTGCACAGGAAGGGAACTGAACTTGGCCCCTCAGAATGATTCGAGCGAGATTCTGACCTTATTTCTTCTTTAAAGAACTTCTTGCAAATAGATGTCCCGATGCAGGCATTGCATTTATCAAGACCGAGGAAAGCCCTTCCGAAATTGTAGCTGGTTCTGACTCGGGGCACCAGAGAAGGCAGGGGAGAAGCTGGCGAGGAGAAGGAACAGCTCAGGACCGAGACCCACAGCAGCAGGGCCGGCCAGCCCAGGCGGAGGGAGGCAGCCTCAGGCCCCCGCCAGGGCTCCATCCTGGGCTCTGGGCTGTGGCTGCAGCTTTCGGCTGCCCACTCAGGGTTTGGCCAAAGAGGAAGCTGTCAGAGGGGGTTGGCTTCAGGGCATTGACCCCCGCCCCATGCTCCAACCGCTCCAGCCGGGCCTCTCAGGTTTCTGTTTAAGGATGCTGAGGAGCTGGGGCTAATGAGGCAGGGGCGGAGGTGAGGAAACCCATGGAGGATGCTGATAACGCTGTTTCCAGAGGCGCTCTTCCTCTGCCTGGGGAGGGGCACCCTGACAGGTTTCGGGAAGGACAATGGTCAGGGCTTCCCTGTGTGGTCCTTTGGACAAACACAGGATATCCCCGCTGCACAGCAAAGGTTCATGCAGGATGTGTGTCCGACCTGCGCTCCACCTGCGAGTTTCAAAGGGTCCTGAAGGCCCCCGCCCTCCACTGTTTGAATTCTGGGTACATCTGTCCCTCTGGGTCTCATACATGCGCGTGTACACACACACACACACACACACACACCAGTTGTTGTTGTTTTTTTTTTTTTTGGTTTTTTTTTGTTTTGTTTTTTTGCCTTCCCAACTGGATAATTTATTCTCCTTAAGGAGCCACGACCCGCCTCCCTGCTCCATTTTTGCCAGATTTGGCTGTGAAGTAGCCAGAGGTTGTTAGTTCACTACCACAAAGGCGCATGTTTAACACTGATTGGAAAGGCAGAGGCTCTTAGCTGCTTAGGGAACGGAACAACTCACATTAGTGTGTCTTCTCTTGCTGATCTCAGAGGGGAAAGAAGGGGACAACCTGGTGGCCTCTGTGATGTGATGAGGGGAGCAGCAGAAAGAACCTTCTTCTTGCGCCCAGCTGTGCCCACGCCTGCCCCCCATGCCTGGAAGCCCCTCTTGCTTCTAGCACCCAGCCTCACTCCACGGGTGGCTGGCCTGGCTTGGTAAGATTTAACGGCTCCAGGGTTGCCTGTCAAGATAAAGGCTGCAGCAGGCACTAGATGGGAGTGCTGGTTTGGAAATGGAGAGAGCCCACGAGGGCCGCTTCAGGGAAGGTGGGTGGCCAGACTTCTGCCAGGGGCTCGGAACTGTTGGAGAATAGAAGAGAGTGCACGGGAAGGTGGGGCTGGGAGAGGGAAAAAGGGGAGAAAGGAGATGAGAGTAAGCTGACACGGGCTCAGATTTGGCGCGTGGGAAAAATAAGGTCAGCATGGTTCTCTGATGACTAAGTACGTGATTATTAGCCAGCCATAGACTCTCCTTGATCAAACGTGCCACTATGTTTGGTTTTTATTGTTGACCTTTGAGACTTCTTTATATATTCTGGATCCCAGTCTTCTGTTGGATATGTGACTTGCTAATATTTTCTCATCCTTGTCTTCCTTTTTAAAAAAGATTGATTTATTTGAAAGGTAGAGCTAGAAAGAGAGACAGAGTGCTTCCACCTGCTGGTTCACTCCCTAAATGACCACAGCTGCCAGGATTGATCCAATTCGAAGCCAGGATCCAGGAACTCTATGTTGGTCTCCCACATAGGTGGCAGGAGCCCACGTATTTGGGCCTTCTGCTGCCTGCCCAGGAGTATTAGCAGGGAGCTGGATTGGAAGCAGAGTGGTTGGGGCTTGAACCAACACTCTGACATGAGATGCCAGGGTGGCAGAAGCACTGACTTAACCCACTGCACCACAGCACAATGGAATATTCTGCAGAGTAAAAGTTTTGGGATTTGATGAAGCCCAGTTGGCCCGTTTTTTCCAGTTATGGGTCATGATTTTGGTTGTGTGATAAAGGGAAAAAAAGATACTGAAATGCTAGAGTTTATTTGAGCATGCCACAGTTCATAAATCTGGGTAGGACCAGACTGCAAAGGGGCAGCATACCACAGGGAAGGTCACGAGGGGGAACTTTTATAGAGTGTTTGCAGAAGCAAGACAAAGAAAAAAAATTTTGATTGGTTATATTGGAAAGTCCCTAGTTAGAGGTTAGTTGCTGATTTCTGATTGTTACAGTTTCTACTTTTAACTTACTGGTTAATGTGTACTTTGGTTTGCCCATGTAGGAATTCAAAGTGCCAGAGCCATCCCAGTCAATGACCTCTCAAATTTTTTTTTTTTGAAACAAATGTGAAAACTCTTTTCCTAGGGGCCGGCATTGTCATGTAGCCGGTAAAGGGACTACCTGGGACACCAGTATCCCATACAAACACCAGTTTGAGTCCCAGTTGCTCCACTTCCATTCTAGCTTCCTGCAAATGTGCCTAGGAAAAGCAGAAGAAGATGACCCAAGTGCTTGGACCCTGCCAGTCATTTGGGAGACCCAGAAGAAGCTGGCTTCCACCTGACCCAGTTCTGGCTGTGTGGCCATCTGGGGAGTGAACCAGCAGATGGACAACCTCTCTCCCCTTCCCCCAACTCTGCTTTACAAGTAAATAAATAAAAATTTTTTAAAAAGAACTGTTTGCTTAGTCCTAGGTTCTAAACATATTCTCTTATGATATTTTTAAATAAAAGTTTTATACTTTGACTTTTTATATTTAAATCTATGATCTAATTTGAGTGAATTTTTGTACTGGGTCAAGGTTCATATTTTTGCCAATGGATGCCCAATCTTTCAACAGCATTTGTTTTTTTTTTTTTTTAAATTTATTTGACAGGTAGAGTTAAATAATGACAGAGAGAGACAGAGAGAAAGGTCTTCCTTCCAATGGTTCACCCCCAAATGGCCGCTACGGCCGGCACTGCACTTATCCGAAGCCAGGAGCCAGGTGCTTCCTCCTGGTCTCCCATGCAAGTGCAGGCGCCCAAGCACTTGGGCCATCCTCCACTGCCCTCCCAGGCCACAGCAGAGAGAGGAAGAGGAGCAACCGGGACTAGAACCTGGTGCCCATACGGGATGCCGGCACCGCAAGGTGGAGGATTAATCAAGTGAGCCATGGTGCCGGCTCCCTCAACAGCATTTGTTAACAAGGCTATCCTTCCACTGAACTGCTTTGGCATTTTCACCGAAGATCATATTTCTGTACTTCTATGTGGCTATAGCTGGCTTCTCTCTTTTATTTCATTGACCTATGCATCTGTTCCTCAGAAAATACCATGTAGTCTTTATAATAATTTTTGTAACTTATTTTACTTTCCTTTTATTTGGAAGGTGCGCGCACACACACACACATACACACAGAGCTGGCGCTGTAGCGAAGTAGGTTAATCCTCTGCCTGCAGCCCCGGCATCCCACATGGGTGCTGGTTCGAGTCCTGGCTGCTCCACTTCCGATCCAGCTCTCTGCTATGGCCTGGGAAAGCAGTAGAAGATGGCCCAAGTCCTTGGGCCCCTGCACCCACGTGGGAGACCCGGAGGAGGCTCCTGGCTCCTGGCTTCAGATTGGCACAGCTCCGCCCATTGCGGCCATTTGGGGATTGAACCAGCGGATGGAAGACCTTTTTCTCTGTCTCTCCCTCTCACTGTCTGTAACTCTATCTCTCAAATAAATAAATAAAATATTTTTTTAAAAAAGAAACACACACATACACAACACAACACATACAACACACACACAGATGTTCTGTCCACTGGTTCACTCCTTAAATGGCTGCAATAGTCATTTGGTCTGGCCAGACCAAAGCCAGGAGCCTGGAACTCTGTTTCTCTAACATGGGTTACAGAGACCGAAGTACTTGAGCCATCACCCGCTATTTTCCTAGGACGTGTATTAGCAGGAAGCTGGATCAGAAATGGAGGCACTTCCATATGGGATGATGTGGCCACTTAGCACTGCTCCAAACATGTGTCCCCACACAATATTAATTATCATAGCTATACTCACATAATAAATTTTGAAATTGGGTTGAGTGATTCCTCCCAATTTTTTTGGAAAAATTTATTAGCTCTTTTAGTTCAATTAACTTTCCACATGTTTTTTTTTTTTTACATTTTTTATTTATTTGCTTTCATCTTATTGGAAAGAGATAGAAACAGAGAGACAGATAGTAACAGAAGGACAAAGAGAGATCTTCCACTCTGTGGTTTGCACTCCAAAGGACTGCAGCCAGGGCTGGGCCAAGCCAAAGGCAGGAGCCTAGAACTCAATCCTGGTCTCTCACACCATAACAGAGACCCCAACTACTTGGGCCACCACCAGCTATCTCCGAGGGGCACATTAGCAGGAAGCTGGAATCAGAAGTGGATCATGGACTCCCTGACGCTCTGATATGGGATATAGATGTCCCAAGTAGTGTCTTAACCACTGTACCAAATGCCCACCCATCCACACAAATTTTACAAGAAAACAAAAACTTCCAGAGATTTAGATAGGAATTGAGTTAAGTCTCTATAGATTTAGGGGAAAACAAACATCTTTATTATGTTTGTTATTATTATTATTATGTTGAGTGTTCAAATCTGTGGATACCCTGTCTATTTAGATCTTCTTTGATTGTTTTCATCTGTTTTGTGGATTTCAGCATCCAAGTCCTATCAATTATGTTGTAGTTTTTTTAAGATTTCTTTTTTTATTTGAAAGGCAGAATTACAGAGAGAGAGAGAGAGAGAGAGAGAGAGAGCGAGCTTCTATCCGCTGGTTCACTCCCCAAATGGCTGCAATGGCTGGGCCTGGGCCAGGCCAAAGCTAGGAGCCCAGAGCTTCTTCCAGGTCTCCCACATGGGTGCAGGGGCCCAAGGACTTGGACCATCTTCTATTGCTTTACCAGGTGCATTAGCAGGGAGCTGGGTAGGAAACAGAGCAGCCAGCTCTCAAACTGGTATCCATGTGGGATACTGGCTCCCTATTTCATTAGAAATTATCAACAATGCAATACTACATCAACTACAGTTACTACCTTTATACAGTAGGTCTCTTGAACTTATTTCTCTTGTCTAATTGAAATTGTTGTATCCTTTGACCCATATCTCCCTACCCCTCCACCCCATTTCCCTCATAACCACTATTGTACTCTCTGCTTCCTTGAGTTTGACTTTTTTAGCTTCCACATATGAGTGAGATACAGTAGTATTTGTCTTTCTGTGCTTGGCTTACTTAGCATATTATTGCAAATGACAGTTTCTTTCCTTTTTATTTTTTTAAAAACTCATTGACATTTTGCTTTCAGACTAAGCCACTGTGCTTTTTGTTTATTTATGAAAGATTGATTTATTTATTTGAAAGGCAGA